ATTATTCATTATTTATTTACTTTTGTGCCTTTATTTTTATTTTATTATTGGAAAGCCTAAACAAAATATTTTGCCTTCTCTCGCACTTTTGCTTGTTGAAGAACCATATCTATATCAAACGGCGATTCTAAAGTCCTTGAGCAATGAAGGTGTTGATGTTTGAGGAATAGAGGCTTGATCATGTAAATCTTACTATTGTACATTTGGTTTTATTAGTTTCTCATATTAGTCCGCTTTATATTTTCTGTTTAGATTTATTTTGTTTATTTATTTAATGTGCAAAACAATTGTGAAATTTATACATAAGAGGATGTTAGGTTCAAATTTACCTTTTGACAATAGTTGAAACATGGAAAACTTGTAAAAGATAGATTGATAGAGAAAAAGTGAGGGAGAGATAGAGAACCATTTTGTGTATTATCCTAAAGTCCATGCTTTGGATTTTGATCCATATCCCAAATTTTTTCCTTCTCTTCCTTTTATAGGTCAAGTATTTTGGTGTTACAAGAAAAACATAATAAGTGCATGGTTATTTGTAATGTGCTAAAATTTATAGCAAGTAATACAACTATTAATATGTTGTTAGCCAGCAATAACTCAACTGCATAATTTTATCTATGTAAGGGTGATTGCTCACTTTTCCAATGAAGACCATCGGTTGGAGAGTTCATGACCTAAACCAACATGCCGAAGCCTTTGACTTAGGTGGCTTATCTTTGATTAGGCCAATAATTTGTATATAAATAAACATTTTGTTTCATAATTCTTTTATATTTTTAGAAGAAAATTTGAGAAAAAAAAGACTTACATAATTAAATAGTGCATGTTTCTGTCATGTCAATAAATCATTTTGAAACCAACACATAATTTAATTTAAAATTTTCAAAATTTGTAGATTAACCTTTTGGAAGTGTAATTTTTTCTTCAAAGTCTTTGTCTTTATTTCCGGAGAACCATGGATCACACAATGAGATTCTCCAGCTAGGAATTTACAGTGAAATTGGTAAAGATAAATAAAGAGCATATAGTCAGGAGGGATCCAGAAGAGTCCTTTGCTGCTTCTCTTTTAAAATGGATAAAGGATGAAGTTAATGAGAGCAGAAAGAACAAAACTCTTGCAAATATTGCTATTATAAAGAGCATATAGTCAGGAGGGATCCAGAAGAGTCCTTTGCTGCTTCTCTTTTAAAATGGATAAAGGATGAAGTTAATGAGAGCAGAAAGAACAAAACTCTTGCAAATATTGCTATTATTAGTGGTCTTTTGGTCATCTAGTATCCTTTTCAAGATGTTAGTGGTGTTCTTTCACTGTCAAGCTCATCATGGATGGTGATGACAAAGAAGTTATATGATGATAATGTTGTTATTTCATATTAGTTGTGTATTATTAAGGGTAATCAAGTAGTTGAGTCCTATGTCTTATTTGGTCACAATCTTAGAAGGATTAATAAAGCATAGGTGGTGCTTATCTTATAGGATGAAGTGAAGGTGTAGTATCCTCTTGATACATTTATTTTTTTTCCATTCAAATGTGAAAATTCTACCACTTATTATCATGAGAAGTTTTTTAATTGCTACACTACCTACTTCATTGTATTTTGGGGAGGTGACTTCAATATTAAATGTTGACCTCATTTTTTTATGCCCTTTTTACCTCTACAAAAGCCTAGGATCTGGCCTTAGGGTTTCCTAGTGGCCTTCTTAGATGTCTAGAAATGGGACCAACAGACACTTAGAACTTCAAGCCCACTCTACATTCACTTAGGGTTTCATAAGGCTAAGCTCAAATCCTCAACTACTGGTTGAGATGATGAGGTATGAAATTGGTCGAAGCCCAAGTTAAATTCCTATAGGTGGAGGATGCCTTAGGCAACCCATGAAGCATAGAGTCTTGGGAATCCCTGTGATGACCCATTGACCACCCTTACACCCTCTTCGGTCTAGAAGAAGCCCATTGAGCATGAGGCTAGTTCTAGGCTAAAGAAGGGTTTACACTTTGTACTAAAACCCTAAATTAAAAAAAAATCCTAACCTCAAAATTTTAAATCAAAGATTAAACCATCAAAGCTAAAAATTGAAGCCTACCCAATTGCCTTCCCCAAACTGAAAATAATCTTAAGAATAAATAACCACTAAAATACACTAAATTCAACTCTAAGCTTAAAATAATCAAAACCCTTAAAGTAAATTAAAATCAAAACTATTTAATACAGAATCAAAATAAAATTAATTAATTAAACACCAACCAACCAACACGCTACCAAAAACCATTAGTCAACTTAAGCTCATACCAAAAGCACTAAAATCACCAAGTTGAACATAGGATCAAATCTAATAAAAAAATGAAATAACAAATTAAATTAATTAATATAATTAGTTAGATTAGTTAATCCTAAGAGGCTTGAATGGTATGACAACCATCCAAAGACAAGCCCACCATCTAAGGCCCAAACTTAGGCCCAAGCCTTCTAACCCCAAAAGGTATATCTACATGACGCAGATGAGCCACATGATCTTTCATGACACTAAAACCTAAATTTTACATAAAATACAATCCTCAGATACGCCTTCTTTTCAGGATTGGTAACCCTTTTTCCTTAGGCCTTTCCATTATACATCATCATTAAACTGTAAGTTCAAATCCAATTTACATAAAATTGAGATTTTGATGATAATTCAGAAGTGTTTCAAATTGATCAATTTGACTATGTTTTCAGCATGGAGTTGATTTGAGTTTATTTTTAGGATAAAATCATAATTATCGTTCAATTTATCCTAATTATCATTGGTTAGATGTGCCAATAAAAAGGCTGATCTGGGTACGTTGGGACTCATTTAAATGTTTTGACAACCTGGACCCATTCGTGAAGTTCATTTTATAAAACGATTCTCTGATAAAAAATATTTACGTCGGACCAAATTTCATGCATGAAAGATCGCCGCATAGTAAAACATTATCTAATAGCCATCAAAACTTAGTGCTCTCTATTCATGCATTAAATTAATAATGAGCCAAATGTAGCTTATAGCATGAGATTCCAAGCACAATAATGATCGATAGAGAAAGGAAAATTTCGGGGCATAAAAATAATAATTTCAAAATATTTTCTTATCAGGCTGTGTTTCAGCCCATTTTTTTTATCTGATTGAAACTAATTGTGTTTAATTTCAATTTTATGTTTAAGTTTATCTTAAAGATTTGAAGTGAATGCCTATATATATATATATATATATCAACAACTGAAGCACGCATAGATGCCCACCAACATTATTAATCACCATCACAAACAATATTAGAGCACACCATCATTGGTAAAGATGATGTACACTGTTGATACAAACATCCTTGCCCATTAATTTTATTTTTATCATACCAAAAAATATTAATTCATGCTAGTGCTAGACAGCCAATACATATCTTTGACACCAACTTTGACGCTCAACACTAAAAACAATTTTTCGTAATGCACTCTTTTTCTCTTGCTTTCTTAATTTTATAAAGACTATTCAACAAACCACAAATAATCTCTTCAAAATAAAGTTAACATCTCGAGGCTTGTCTAACTTTCATAATAGAACCCATTCTCCACAGTTCATGTTTACTATATTGTAACAATGCTTTCCCTAGTTATGAATATGGACATTATTTATGGCCGATGACATAAATTTTCTCAAACAATCTTAACAAAGTCACACCCTATGTTTTGTTTTAATTTTTTTTTTCTTTTTTTGGGGTAAAACTTTAGCGTCTCTCAAGAAACTTGGCTTTTGATTTGTGTGAAAACCTATTCTTTTTACAATAATAAATTATATATATTTTTTGCCTATTATGATTTTTTCTTTGCATATACGATATATATATGTTTTAAAAGGAAATCGGTATTTAGCATATGCCCAAATACCGATATCTCATGATGAGAGCACGCGTCATGTGCCTAAATATGTTCGAGAAGCCAACGCCACTGGGGATTGAACCCGTGACCTGAGAGGACTTACAGTGAACCCCTCCAACTAACAGGTCACGACATGCGGCACATATACGATATATGTATATATACTTCTTTAACTTGAATGGTTTATTCATTGTGTTAAGTTGAATGTGTCTGAATTAGCTCATTTATTCTTATTGTTAGTATGCTCTTGTCCTAAAAAAAAAAAAATGATGCTGGTTACGGCTTCCATCTTATTATTTATCATCTTACTTCTTTTATGATTAATAATAATATAATGCGGTGCATTAGTCTAACCGCCATGTAGGTAGATAGATAAGGCATGGATGACCCTTCTCTCCTCAATCCAAGACTCACAACTAATTCATGTTAATCTTTGGGTTGGGTGGCTTTTGTGCTCTTCTATGGAAGACTATCATTGAAACCTTAATTGGCAACCTAACCTATGGCCCGTTTGGTTGAGTGAATTTGTGTAGGAATTAAAAAAGATAAAGTCAGCATATATTATAATATGAAAGAATTTGAAGTTTACACTGCAACTCATTTTTACTGAATTTACGTTCATTCAAATATAAAATAATGTCGGCAAGCGACTGCCCCGCCACTGCCACCCACCACTCCAATCACACACAGCC